AAAACAACTTCAACAAGATCAAGTTTTAAGACCACAATACATGCACGAAGAGACACAAGGGAGAGAGAGAGGGAGAAGGGTGGAAGACGCACGTTTTTTTTTTCTTTCTTTTTATTCCAAGTCTTTTCGAGAACAAACGTCTCAGCGGATTCAAGAAACGTTTATGACCACGTCCCTGGCGAGAAAACGCGAGATTTGACGAGACTTCGAGGCGACGAAGCTTGTGGATTTATTTTTCAAAATCTATTTTATTTCATTATTATTATTATCATTATTTTATTATTATTGCTATTACTATTATCATTATTTTCATTATTATTATTATTATTGTTATTGTTTTATCCGGAGTTCACGAGTCTGTCTCTTCGATTTTGTTTTCATCTCTCACTTATTCTCCTTCTTTTCTTCTCTCTCTCCCTTCCACCCTCTCTATCTGTCTATTTCTGCCTATCTGTCTACCTCTTCATCTACCTATACTCACGTATACATACATGAAAAGCAACAACAACAATGACAACAGCAACAACAATAGCAACAACAGCAAGCAACAACAACAGCAACAACAGCAGCAGCAACAATAACAACAAAAACGAATAAAAGACACGATCCACATTCCTTTCTATCGTTGAGGTCAAGACGTAAAATAAGCTCCTTCTGCCTTATCGCGACTGGCTGACTAACCGCCTGACTGACTGCCCGACTGACTAACTGACTGGCTGACTAACCGCCTGACTGCCTGACTGACTAACTGCCTGACTGGCTGGCTAACTAACTGCCTGACTAACCGCCTGACTAACCGCCTGACTGACTAATCGCCTGACTGACTAACCGCCTGACTGACTAACTGCCTTACTGACTGTATGACTAGCTCCTTGACTGCCCGACTAACCGCCTGACTAACTCCCCTGACTGCTGACTGACTAACTGACTAACCGCTGACTGACTGACTAACTGACTGACTAACTACTGACTGTATGACTAACCGCCTGACTGCCTTACTGACTGTATGGATGACTCCCTAACCGCCCGACTAACTCCTGACTAACCGACTTACTAACCGCCTGACTGACTGGCTGCAAATGGCTTTCAGTCGGAGTCAAGGAGGCCGTTTCAGGAGCGCTGACGGCACGCAAGTCGAGACAAGGAGACAGTAATTCGGGGAAGGTAAAGTGGCAGAAAGTCAGACGTCGGAGGCAAGAGAGGGAGCTGTCGGGCCAAGAGGACGTTTCGGGGAGGAATTTTTTTTCGTTTTTTGGGTTTAAAAGGGAGGGACGGTGAGAGTTTCAATTTCTATTTCTTTTTTATTTGTTTAGTTGTCGTTTTTTTCTATTTCTTTTTTTGTTTTTGTTTATTTGTCGGGTTTTGTTTTATTTTGTTTTTGTTTTCTATTTTTTTTGGATAAGAATTTCATTTAAGAATAATTATTTATGTGTCAGTGCTGTTTTTATTTATTTTTTGTTTGTTTGTTTCTTAATTTGTTTATTTGTCGTTTTTTTTTTTTTTAATAAGAATTTCATTTAAGAAAGATTATTCACGTGTCAGTTCTGTTTTTATTTATTTGTTTTTTTAGGGGCTAAAAGGTCAGATAATAAAAAAAATATTTCTTTTTATTTGTCTATTTGTCAGTTTTGCTTTATTTTTATTTTTTAAGACTTTTTCATATTGATTTATTTATCTATTATCTTTTTTTTTAGACTTTTTCATATTGATTTATTTATCTATTATCTTTTTTTTTAGACTTTTTCATGTAGATTCGCTTGTCTTCGTGATCATCTCTATGATAATGTATTCCTCAGTAAAGTCACATAACTATTCGACTCCATAATTATATATCTATTAAGCTTTGAATTAATCTGCCTATCAATCCCTATAACTATCTCACAGATCCGATTATCTGTTCAATCTGATGACTGCCTATCTATTCAGGTCTATAATGATCTCCCTATCTATCTGTGTGATCATATGTCTATTCATCTTTATCATTTTGCGTTCGTATTATTTTTATTATCATTATATTTCATTTTATATGTATTTTATGTATGTTTTGTTCGTATGCTTATTTTTATTATCATTATATTTCATTTTATATATATTTTATGTATGTTTTGTTCGTATACTTATTTTCATTATCATTATATTTCATTATATATATATATATATAATTTATATATATATATTATATATATATATATATATATATATATATATATATATTTATATATATATAATGTACGTTTTGTTCGTATATTATTTTTATTATTATCATATTTATTTTTATATATATTTCATGTATATTTTATTATTATCATTATATTTGCTCCTACAATTCTTGCTGCATATCTTACCTACTTGAATATTCTTAAAAGTTTCTCAGCAACATCAAAAGTAGGACAAAGGAATATAACGCATGAACACTCGAACATTTCTCATAGATCAGAATAGCTCTTTCAGATCGAACACTGCAGTGATACACTTAGCATTGTTCAGGCGTTCATGTTTGCACATTTCAGCACACTGTTCATTATACACGCTCAAGACAAAATCATATTCCCGACCCACTTAATGATTCATAGCTCTTCGAACCGATGAATAAAACATGAACTTGGATTCCGGATTAATGGGTTGCTTGAACACACGCCCGGCAACAGGCACAGAAAATCTATATCCAATGTCAAAATGTTTAAGTCCCCCCTTCCTCCCTTTCTCGCCCCCCCCCCAAAAAAAAAAACAGACTTCAACACTTCCCTTTTTTCTATTCACTTTTCTACTCCCTTTACCCTCTTCCTCTATATTGGCCTTTCTCCTCTCTTCTTTAACCCCCTTCCTCCACCTCTTTGACCCCTTCCCCACCTCTTAAACCCCCTCCACCTCTTGATCCCTCCCCTCCACCCCCACCTCTAACCCCACCCACACCTCTTGAACCCCCACCCCCCACCTCTTAAACCCCACCCCCAACTCCAACTCCCCCTCCCCCCACCTCTTCAACCCCGCCTCGCCATGGCAATCCGATCCCAAACAACGCCACCGCTTTTTTCCCCCTAAACTCACCCCCCAATCCCCAATCCCCAATCCCCTCCCATTTGCTCGCCGCCACCTCGCCTCGCTTGGTCACGCAATAGCGCTCGCATCAGAGCAGGGGAATGGCTAATCAGTCACCCCGCTTAGCCAGGGAGTCACGTATTCAGTCAACGGGGGTGAGTGGCTTAATCAGTCATTCAGTCAGCGAAGCGAGGAGTCAGCGAAGCGAGGGATAAGCATGAAGGAAGATAAGTCAGGAAGTCAGCAACCCTCGATGTGGGGAATAATGCGATAGTTTATGTAATTAGTGTAAATATCTTTGTTGATAGTTATTCGAGAACCCATAGTGTAAAGAAACCATTGTTGATAGTTATTCGAGAACCCATAGTTTATCTCGGAAAACTATAATGTATCCAGTTATCTGTAAAAGCTACATAGATGAAACTGTATAACAATGCCTTTATGACACAACGACTTACACTGGTTAGTTAATAGACTCGCTAACTAGTTATCAAACTATGAACTGAATTTAGCTCCAAGGCTATCTAGACTCTCTCTTTGTCAGTCTATCTGCCGTTGAGAATAAGACAGACAGACAGTCAGAAAGAACATAAAGGACGATTCATTTAAAGTAATGGTTAGGCACGTATATATATGGTAAGACAAACAGACGCAAGAAAGAACTTAAAGGACAATTCATTTTTAAGTAATGGTTAGGCACTTAACCACTTACAATCACCAATAACAACACTCAGAAGCAACCACATACTTCCAACTCCAAATACGAGAAACGTATTCATTATATCCATTTTTTTAGGTCCGTTCCTGAATCACCAAAACCTTCAGAAACGATAAAAAGAAACGTGCATTATTTCAGCGTCCTTTACCGAATCACCCAAAAACCTTCAGACACACACACCAAATAAAGACACTTGAAAGCCATTTATCTAAACATCCCACGCACACACATCCGTTATCAAAACTCCTGCGCCAAAAGTCAGTCATTTAACCCCGAAGCCAGTCAGTCCCTCGGGTATTTCACTCGACCCGACGGCGTGCCTTCCTTGAAAGCGCATTTATCCGGATTTACTGTTTCGCAACATTGACCGCTGCAAGCAAGCAAGATGGGAACGTGACGCATGGGAAAGGTTTCTTTGTTTGAGCTTTTTTTTTTTTTTTTTTTTTTTTTTTTTTTTTTTTTTTTTTTTTTTTTTTTGCGTGCGACTTCTTTTTTATGTTATGTAAATTATATTATCATTGCCATTATCAGTGTCATTATCATTGCTGTTATTATGATAATTGTTATCATTTCATTAATGGTATTTGGATAAAATGATAATAATAGTGATGATAATGATAATTTTAATGAAATGATAATAATATGATAACTATAATAATAGTAATGATAACAATGATAATAAGTAATATTGATAATGATTATAATACAATAACAACAATAAATGATAATGATAATAATAGTAATAATGATATAATGATAATGAAATAATTATGATTATTATTTATTATCATCATTATCATTTTTATCAACATCAACACCACCATCCACATTATCATTCTCATTAATCCATCACATATTACCATCATTATCATCACTGTCATGATAACAGCAACATGACTGAGAAATTATTATCGGCAAAGTGTCTGGATTTACATCGTCCGTTGTAGCTGAGAGGTCGTTGTCCTGTGGACGGACGACGCGGCACGGAATTCGCATACCATCAGCTGGGATTACGAGTGACGTCACGACCCTGGGGGAGGGGGGGGGAGGAAGGGGGTAGAGGGGAGGAAGGGACACGTTCAGGGTAGGGTAGGTTGTTGGGGGTGGGGGGGGGGGTGGGGGGGACTGTTTATTGCAAGGCGTCAGGTAAGATATTCCCTGCTTGACAAAGAGGTTGGGGGGAAGGGGAGGGTGGGGGAGGGTGGGGCTTGGGAACAGGGGAAGAGAGGGGAGGGGGAGAAGTGGGAAGGAAAGGAGTGGAGGGGAGGAGGGGTGAGGAGGGGGATAGAAGAGGGGAAGGGGAAGTGGGAAGGAGGGGAGGGGGGAGGAAGAGGGAAGGGTAGGGAAGGGAGGGGGGGTGGGGGGTTGTCTTCAGGGTGTGGTTAGATGTTTAAGGTGAAAGACCAAAGGTCAGGGGTCATAATGTAGGTATGAATAATGCTTTAGAGTTGAAAATATGTATCATTACAGGTACACACGTACAAAATGCACGCACATGCTTTACATGTACATATATTAAGCACACCCCCCCCCTCCACACACACACACATCACCTATATATACATATAAATACATATACATATGCATATATACATATATATAAATATCTATATGTCTGTCTATATCGATCGATCGATCTATATATATATATATATATATATATATATATATATATATATATATATATATATATATATATATTATATATATATATATATATATATATATATATATATATATATATATATATGTATATATATAATATATATATATATATATATATATATATAATATATATATATAATTATATATATATATATATATATATATATATATATTATATATATATATATGTACACACACACACACACACCACACACACACACACAACACACACACACACACACACACACACCACACACACACACACACACACACACACACCACACACATATATATATATATATATATGTACTGTACACACACACACACACACACACACACACACATATATGTGTGTGTATGTGTCTGTCTGTGCGTGTGTGTGCGTATCTGTATGTGCATGAGGAAGGCAAAAGGAAAGCTGTAAGCAGATTCATCCCTTCCTATTTTCCCCTTTTATCATTACCCTTCCATTCCCTTCTTCCTGTGAATGTTTCATTTCATTCTTCTACACTTTTCTACCTCCTCCCACCCCTCCCTCTTGCCTCCACTTCCCCTTCCCTTTGCTTCTAATCTTCGCCTCTCCTCTCCTCCTCGCTTCACCTTTCTCTCCTTCTTCTGACCTTCTCCCATTTTCCTTACTCCGGCTTCCTTCTTACACTTTCCTTCCAGCTTTTCTCTTCCCTCCTTTCCTGCCTCTTCCTTGCCTCATCTCCTTTTCTCTTTCTTTTTTTTTTCTCTCTATTCCTATTTCCTATCCTTCCTGCTTCTCTTTTCTTGCTCTCATCTCCTTTTTTCTTTTCTTTTTTTCTCCATTCCTCTTCCTCTCCTTCCTGCTTCTCTTTTCTTGTCTCTCATCTCCTTTTCTCTTTTCTTTTCTCCACCCTCTCTCGCTCACTTCCTCTCACTCCTCCTTCACCGCTTCCACTTCCCCGCTCTTTATCGCCTTCCGCTTCCAGTTCCCTCTTCCCTTCACTTTCACTTCCCTTCTCCGCTTCTCCTTCCGCTCCACTTCCGCTTTGCCGCCGGCGTCCAGACAGCCATTTCCACCTCCCGCCTCCACTTCCTCTTTTCCCTTCCACCTGCCGTCTCCACTTCCCCCTTTTCCCTGCCATTTCAGCCATTTGCCTCCACTTCCCATTACTTCCCTCTCTCTCCACCTTTTTTCCTCCCTCTCCCCCCTTCCTTCTCTCCCCTCCAACCTCCTTTCCCCTCCTCCCTCTCTTCCCTTCCCCCCTTCCCCCTCTCCCCCCTCTCGTCTCCCCCCCCGCCTCTCCCTCTTTCCAACCTCCCTTTCCTTTCCCTCTCCTCCCTCACCCTCCAAACCTTCCCCTTACTCTCCCTCCCTCTCGACTCCGGCCCCGATCTCCCCCTCTCCCTCCCCTCCTCTTCCTCTCTCCTTCCCAACCTCCTCTTCCCCTTTCCCCTCTCTCTCCTCTTCTCCCAACTTTCCCCTCCCCCGTTCCCCTCTCCCTCCCTCTCGACTCCGCCCCCCGACCTCCCCTCTCGTCTTTCCCCTTTCCTCCCTCTTTCCAACCTCCTCTTTCCTTTCCTCTCTCCCTCCCTCTCCCTCCCAACCTCCCTTCCCTTCCCCTTTCCCCTCTTCCCCCTCTCCCCCTTTCCCTCTCGACCCCGGCCCCCTCCTCCCCTCTCCCCCTTTCCCTCTCTCCCCTCTCCCCTCTCCTTCCTCACCCCCTCTCCTCCTCCCCTCCCAACCTTCCCCTTCCCCTTCCCCTCCCCCCCTTCCCCTCTCCCTCCCTCGACTCCCGCCCCCTCCTCACCCTCTCTCCCCTTTCCCCCTCTCCCCTCTCCTCCTCACCCCCTCCCTTCACCTCCCAACCTTCCCCTTCCCTTCCCTTCCCCCCTCCCCTCTCGACTCCCGGCCCCCTCTCCCCCTCTCTCCCTCCCCCTCTCCTCCTCTCCTCCTCCTCCCAGGCTCAACAAGTGCTAGCGTTGATCTTCCTCGGGGAACATTTGCTTCAGCCCATTGCCTTGGTCCGCTTCACGGTGAAAAATTGATAGGATAGTGAGGGGAAGAGGGAATGGAAAGAGGGGAGAGGAGAGGGGAGAGGGGAAGGGAGAGGGGAGGGGGGAGAGGGAGAGGAGAGGGGAATGGGGTGAGGGGAGATGGGAGAGGGAGAGGGAATGGAAAGAGGGGAGAGGGGAGGGGGAATTGGGAGAGGGGAAAAGGGAGAGAGGAGAGGGAAGAGGGAGAGGGAAGAGGGGAGGGAGAGAGGGAATGGGGAGAGAGGAAAGGGAGAGGGAGAGGAATGAGGGACAGAACGGGGTAGATCAGAGGGGATAGGAGAAAGGGATAAAGGAAGGAAGAGAGTGCGGGCGTTGGGGAGAGAAAGTGTAGATGAATGGGAGAAGCGAGGAAGGGGAGCAGAATGTAAGGGAACGACATGATAAAAGGAGGGGAAAGAGTAATAAGGGATAATAGGATGAGGGAAAAAGGATAACGTAGATAAGGAATCGCAAGGAAGTATCTTTTACGAATGCGGACTATTGAGATGTAAATAAGCATAGGTTTTCATCATTTCACATTGGCCGAAAAAGTGAAGAGGAGGAGGAAGATGATGAAGATGAAGAAAAGGAGGAAGTGGAGGAAGAAGAGAAGGAGAAAGAGGGGGAATGATAATAA